ACCTAATGCTGGGGGCTTAAGTGGAGAGAAAATGTTTTTTGAGGATGAGGGCAGCGAATGTATAAATGTGCTTTACACAATTGATGTATGTATGGATTGTGATAAGAGTTGTATGAGCCCCTAATAAAACGATGAAAAAACAAACAAACAAAAGACAAATGGAGCTATCTATGCAGAAAGCAATCTTCCAGGCTTTGTCTACTGCACGACCTAGGACACACTATGTAATAGTGTTTTAAGTTTTAGTTCAACCTGTCAGCCATGGGACGTTGATGGAAGGGGCAGTTAACAGTGAGCTGGCAATGTTGGTTGCTCAAATTTTATCATTGAGAGCTCATAGAGCTTGTTAAATTTCAAAGGATTCTGCAACCAAGAAAGTACCAAAAAAATAAAGAAAAAGATAGAAAACACTTAAAAAAAAAAGTCCCTATAAGACACCTGGTCAGAGTTTCCATAAATTATGAAATGGTTTATCTCATGTAGCAGTTATTCACTTTTAGAACATTTTCATCTAGTGCGGCAGTTACATAATCTCCTGTCAACTTGTGCAGGAGTGGAGGTTAGACTGTCAATCAGGTGGCAGATTGATGATCTCTTTTGGAGGGGCTAAGGAGATAAATAGCTCCCCGGAGGTGGGACACTTGCTCACTCCCTGCAAGACATTCCTGACAATGAGCTCGATGGAGCTACGCTGATACAGCCAGAGCTCTGGAGCCGGAGGAGCCATGTGGAGACCCCCGCCAGCACTGAGATGCTTCCACCACCACTGGATCCACAAGACTTTCCACCCACTGGCCTGTGACCTTCCTGCATTCGGCGTCATTGCATGTGTTGTATGAGTCTGACGAGGAATTTATAGACTGGTATCAGACATATGAGCTAAAATCAGGCTTATGGAATTCATCTGGACTGGGCTGGGATGTTTTCTTAAAGTACAATTACTCTTGGATATAAAGCTCTCTCTTACACACACAGTGTTTATGAATTTGTTTCACTGGTCAACCCAGACTAATACATCCAGCATGATGTCCATTCATAAATTCTAAATGCAAAGCCAGACAGTCTTTGCAAAATCCACTTTCTACAAATAAATACCAAGCTTTGGCCATCTACGTACCAAGAATTGCCACCATCATTTGATGAAAGTTCAGAACACACCAGGGGAATCAAGCATTTCATCTCGTTTTCCACATATGCTCTAAGCCCGTGGTTCTCAACCTTCCTAGTGCCGCGGCCCTGTAATTCAGTTCCTCATGTTGTGGTGACCCCTAACCATAAAATTATTTTCATTGCTACTTCATCACTGTAATTTTGCTACTGTTATGAATCGGGTGACCCCAAAGGGGTTGCGACCCACAGGTTGAGAACCGCTGTTCAGGCGTGAGTTGTGCTCCTGGCTGTTTACCTGCCTTCAGGGAAAGGAGAAGCTAGAGATTTGTTTTACTAAGTGCATCGCTGGGCAGGGGTTTTATAGGAATTTCGCTGGGGCTCCCCAAGGGTGAGGTGTATCTGTCTATGAAGGAATCAGGGTCTGACCCATACCCAAGTGATGTAAAGTTCCCCGGATAAACTGCTGTTCTGTGTGGTCTAAAAGATAGCTCTCCTTCCAAAGGGTCTACACTGGTTAGACAAACATAAAACAGAGTAGCAACAATGAAACATACAACTTTCCTCCAGTTCTTAAATGCTTCCTCCCCCACCTCCACTGTCATGATCCCAATTCTACCTTACAAATCCGGCTAGACCGGAGGATGTACACTGGTACAGATAGCAACTGGAAACACCGGGAATCCAGGACAGATGACTCCTTCAGGACCAGTGGTGAGAGTGGCGATGCCTGGAGGGTGGAGGGAATGTCAGGTAGAAAGGGGGAATTGATTACAAGAATCTATGTATAGCCTCCTCCCTGGGGGATGGACAGCAGAGAAGAGGGTGGGGGGAGACGTTGGACAGTGTAACATATGACAAAATAATAATAATTTATGAATTATGAAGGGTTGATGAGGGAGGGGGGAGGGAGGGGGAAAATGAGCAGCCAATATTAAGGGCTAAAGTAGAAAGCAAGTGTTCTGAGTATGATGAGGGCAACAAATGTGCATATGTGCTTGACACAATGGATGTATGTACGAGCCCCCAATAAAATGATTTTTTAAAATTCTGAAAAAATTATCAATGGGAACACAACATAGCTCTATTACAAATTAGGTTCATGATTTTTGAAAAGGAGGAACCGTATTAACAGTTGCTTCTAGCTCCCCCAGAGGCAACTAGGAAGCCCGTTGAGCTGCTAGACACACAGACCAATTATAAAGCATGATGACTGAGATCGGTAAGTCATTAGAAATCAAAAAGTAATTAGAAATCTCTTAACCCAGGGAGGCGGGGGGATCAAAACGGTTGCACATGTGCCAGTTAACCAAGAGGTTGGACGTGTCAGTACACCAAGAGGAGACTCAGAAGTCGGCTCAGGGGTCTGCTGCTGGGAATCCAGCCACTGAGAGCCCTGGGAGGCCAGTTCCAATCTGGCCCACCCGGGAGCACCATTCAGTGGGGTCCACTCGATGGCAACTGCTCTTTCTCACAATCAAATAAAACAATGTAAGTCTTCTCGAGAATAACTGATCTACTAAAGCAGGATAACTTTAAGATTAAAAAAACTTAAATTTTATTTTCAAGAGCAGTGCACTTGGCGTGGGGGGGGCGGGGGGATGGCTGACTGACCACCATTAGATGTTGATAAACGACACTGCACTGTTAAGCGGTGTTTTCATGAGGGACACATAGACAGTCGTGTCCGGTTGACTTGTCTCCAAAGGAATCGATCATTTGTTTTAAGGGAACCACTAACCACAGCCCTAATTTGACACGGCCTGGATCAATGCCGACGACATACAGCACTGGCAAATGGTGGATAGAATCAAACAACCATATAGAAACTTTATTACATTTAGCTCTGTACAACAGAGTCCTCCCCGTTTTCAGTATAGGACTACCCGTTACGCTGCGGTCTGGCCGTTTACATGGAAACCCCAACAACGGATTTTTCCAAGAACAGCGAGGAACCCAAACTACAAACTACTAAAACCATGTAACTTCTAATGACCGTCGTCTCGTAAATTCTGGTCTCTAACCTGCCATTTTTCTTTTATTCTAAATTCCAAGACCGAGTCACATCCGAGGTAAGTGGGGTTTGTTTTTCCTCCCCTGAAAAGAAAGACTAAAATAAACCACTGAAAGAATAATAAGGTTAGCTATTAGGAACAGGAGGGGAAGACTGGTTCAAGTTCAGCGGTGGCACACTGATTTCCAATGCCGCGCTCGCTCCCGTGAGTTCACAATACTTGAGTCGGATTCAGTCCTTCCGTACTCGTCTCCTGCGGACTGACTTGACGGGCCCGTCTCCAGAGCCCGGGCTCTCCTCCGCCTCCTTCATGAAGGAGAGACAGGCAGTTCAGTACGCTGAATGACCAGCAGAGACGAGGCAACTACAGTCAACCCCCAAATCATTGAAACTGTTTTTAAACAAAAACATCAACAGGGGAGGCTACTGTCCTCTACTTATCCCTGTTGGCCTACAAGCCTCTGAAGGGTTAGCTCTACCTCTTGAATCTTTCCCCGAGATTTGTGTGCTTCCTCAGCATACATCGCCTCAGAGCGGTTGTTTTCTCATCACCGAGGGATTCTAATGATGCTCCTTTCAAACATTCTTTTGCGTTTGGGGAACAAACAGCAGTCTGAAGGTGGGAGATCAGCGCTGTGGGGTGGATGGTATAATGGCTCCTAACAGAACCCTCCAGAGACCAGTCCTTTGTCACCCTCAGAGAATGAACACAGGGGTATCGTCCTGATGGGGGGGTGAAGTCTTTCAGTACAATTTTCCTGGCCTTTTCCTCACCAATGCAGTCTATAATTTTCTTAAACGTTCTTTATAAGAAGCCCCCATGATCACCCTGTGACTTTGAGCAACAGCTATCAAGTTTGCCCCTGAAAACAGACAGTGCCACTGAGTCCATGCCGATTCAGAGCAACCCTATACGACAGAACAGAATTGACCTGTCGGATTCTGAGACGGCTTAACAGTTCATGGGAAAGCCTCATCTTTCTCCAGGGAGTGGCTGGTGGTTTTGAACTGCTGACCTTGTGGATCGCAGCCCAATGTGTAATCCCATGCCAACCAGGGCTCCTAGTTTGCCCCTTATGAGGCCTGAAATACAGTTGCTATAACCTTCTTGGATGACCCCTCTGCTTTAAATATATGTGCTCCAACTGACTACGTACGGGCCACAGTTTTGTCTGAATCTTGTTTGAAGTCCCCTCATCAAGACTGAGACAAGTGTATTACTGAGAAGATGTATCTACACCCATTCACCGATCTCAGAGAGGTATTTAAACATGTTTTACCTGAAACAAACCTGTGCATATATGAACTGGGACACTAGTAGCCACACTATTTGACTTGCATCTAATTCTCCGAATTTTACGGACAAGTCTCACTTTAGATTTTGTAAACTGTGCTCGGTTTCACGTAGCCTTGCGTTAACACATGGTATTTCCTTTTCTTCTTTATGGATATATTTTAAAGGATTATTTTCTGTTGAAGAGTTGATTGCTTACCTCATCCTCTGACCCAGACTTATTTGATTTATTGCCTTCTTCCTGCCCTTCTATGATCTCAATTTCTTCCTCACTCTTTTCCTCGGGTTCACCTTCCTCTTCTGTAATAGAGATTGCATTAACATAAGAAACTCAATGCATTTTGAAATTTGTTACTAAGAATTATTAAGTACAATAAATGGATTTGCTTAAGTCCTATTATTTAATAAGAAGACCTTTAATGGGGAAAATGTCAAAGGAGTTATAAATTCTATAGTATTGCTACATTTTTAGAATTAAATCATCCGATGTGAAGTCAAGGCTGGGAGTAAAGACTCACGTAGCCCAGTTGCTATGCAGACCAAAGCCTTTATCCCCCTCCCGTGGTCAAGCCTTGGTCGTGCGTCCCCAAATCTCTGAGGCCCTTTTCCTCTCCAATATGCTATGTGACTCTCAGATCTACTGATGACACCTCGTGCTCTGGTTCCAGGCACTGGCTTCTCTTTGGAGTCCATTTAGCCAAGTCTCCATGTTTGTTACTAAGATTACCAATGATACTACGATGGTAAGTGGGCCCTGTGTGCGAGTTAAAGCACCACGCTCATCGGACACTTGCACCATGGTGGTTTGCGTGTTGCTGTGACGCTGGAGGCCGGGTCATCACTCCTGTAGGTTCATAACTGCTCGGCTGAAGTAGATGACGAATAAAGGCAACCCATGGGTTACGAATGACTGACTTGGGTGTTCGGTTTACTCTTTCATATTAGGTAGAGCTGCCTTCATTTTGAAACCATCGAACCAGTCCCCTCCCACCCATTCCATTGCGACAAAACCCAGGCCAGCTCACTGCCACCCACCCCAGTTTACAACGAAGTCTTTCTCACAAGCACCTTCAGTTGCAGCATATGCAACGTTTGTAATCATGAGAGAGAGAGAGAGAGAGAGGCTTCTCTCGTTTTCTTGACCGAGCACAAGAAAGAACCCCAAAGTCATGGGTTGATTACCAATCTCAATGAGTTTATAGGGTAAAGTCAAACTGCTCCATACACTTGCCAAAGCAGTAAGTCTTTAAAGAATCAGGTAGCCACATCTTCCCCCCGTGGAGCAGCTGGTGGGTACAACCCACCATTCTGGTGAGCAGCTCGGTACTCTAATGACTGCACCACGGGGCTACTTTCCTTACACGACATCCGAGCCATAGGAACCTATTCCAACTCACAGACAAAGCCCACTGAAAAAGTCACCCGGGCATGCCTCAATTTGAATCTCCAGTTTATTAGGAGGCTTTTTTTAGAAAGCCACTCCCATGAGGGTGACCACCCAGGGCACATCCCCCACTCTGGAGGGCTACTCATCTTGGCCGCCGTCATGCCTGCTTGATGTTGCAGTCGGTGGCATGCTTTCGGCATGCACAAGGGCAGTATTCACTAGAAAACGGGCAGTTTTCATGGGCTGTGGCCAGGGTTCTGCTAGAAATGGCCGCTACCACCACCACCCTGCCCCTGCCATCACCACCACCACCCTGCCCCATCACCTTACCCTTTTCCAGAATTTCACCATCACTTTGCTTTTTCTCTTCCCCCAAGTCCACTGGCTTCTCCAGGGCTGCCTTGTCTCCCTTCACTTCTTGCTCTAGCGCGCCTTTAGTTTGCAGCTCACAAATGTCGGCCTTTCTAAACGCCACATCTTCACTTTTTTTCTGTGGTGGTTTAACATAAGCTATTTTTACTAAAAACAAAGCACTATTTTAAAAACGGGTTTTGTTCCACATCATAACTTAACTGACAACATGTAAAACTCATGAACGATCAGTACACCCCTGCAGAACATGTATGACTTTAAACACACACACACACACACACACACACACACACACACACACACACACACACGTGTTCCCAGCAGACCAGCTTCCCGCCAACACTATCTACACTCACTGCTGGTGGCCCTGGCTGGAGCCCGGACCTGTGACAGCACCTCCCCCTCCCCCCTGACTTCACTGCTTCCACCCCAGAAGCAGCCCTGCCCCCTGGCCCCCTCAACCTGGCTTTTGAGGAAATGCTGCCCATCTGGTCTTGACACACACTGTTTGCCGGGGTGGCATGATTTTCTAGGTCCCTTGAGTGGCTTCTACTTCAGATTGAAAGGGTGTTTGAGAAGGACAGTCTCTCTGGGGTTCCTCCAGTCTTTATCGGTCCAGTAAATTGATTTTTTTAAAGTGCATTTGGGCTTGGCTCATATTTTCTCTCACTCTATCCCGGACTTTCTAGCATGTCCCTGGTGAACTCTGGTAAAAGGAAAGGTGACTCCCACCACACAGGGAAGTCACCACGACCTGACCAAGGTAGAGGCAGGCACTGCGAGGTACACCCGAATAAAGGAAAGCTCAGTAACTGCTCTGATATGTTTGGCTGTGCAGCAGTAATAAATCCAGTTGAGTGAGTGGCCACAAAGATAGATGTGTGCACCATATGAATGCGGGAGTGTGTATGGGAACACGTGTACATCGATTGCTAAAGTTGTGGGTATTTGTATACAGGTATTTGTGCTGCAGGTATATGCACACAGCAGATCACACAGGGGACACCATCATGGGAAATGCTTCAATATATCCAAACTCCTCATGGAGCTGAGCCAACAAGGCTTGAAATCCAAGCATTCAAGTCACACAGGGACATCTATGCCAGTTGGCATAATATGTTTCCTAAAGGTAATAATCTGCATTCTCGGTGGACGAGTCATATGTGGGTCTGACAAGCTTGCGAGTGGCCATCTAAGACACCCAGTTGGGTTTCTTCTGTAAGTCTTTATGGGAGTAGAAAGCTTTGTCTTTCTCCCAAGGAGTGGCCAGTGGTTCCCAACTGCTGACTTTGCATTTAACGAAGCTCAGAGCGAAACCCTTACACCATGGGAGCTTCCCATTCACTTGGCATCATGGTGATTTATACTGAAAATATTCAACGCAGGTAGCTGAGCTCTAGTGGAACGTATAAAATAATATCCAAAATACTACAGATGACCAGAACAAACAATCTGTCCTGGGGAAAAATACAACCTGAGTGCTCCTTCAAAGCAGGGATGGCAAGACTTGGTTGCTCACATTTTGGACGTTATCAGGAGGGACGGGGCCGAAGAAAGTATCAGGCTTGAGAGAAGGTCCATGCAAAAGAATGCAGCCCTGGATGCGATGCATTGACACAATGACTGCAGACAACAGATCCAACGCTGATGACTGTGAGGAGGCCACAGGATGAGGCAACGCTCCTTTCTGCTGTCCGTAAGGCCGTGATGGGTCAGATGCACCTGGACATCACCGCTGTACTCACTGTCTTGGCCTCCCTACGCCCATCCTTGGTAGGAATCAAAGAATGATGCTTTCTGTGTACAAACTTACTCTTGACTTTTTCAAAAAGTGTTACTATACAATGTGTCTTCTTTGGGGATTTCACTAAGCATACGATGCTCTAGATTCTTCCATACTATGTTTCACAGACTCATTGTGATGGTCACCTAATCTGGTGTCAATTTAAGGATGAAGAGTGTAAAGGTGGAGTCTAGGCTGTCAATCTGCAGATAGCCAGTGAGACTTCTATGGGCATGGCCTTCTCCTGAGAATTCTGGGATATCTGGGACTTCCTCCTCGGAGGCGGAAGACACCTCTCTCAGCTACTCCCTGGGAGACACTGCAGAAGACAAGCCACATGGATGCAACCAGACCTCGGAAGCAGGAGAAGCCACAGAGAGACCCCTGCCAGCACTGAGATGCTTACAGCGCCACTGGATCCAAAGACTTTCTACCCACTGGCCTGTGATCTTCTGCATTCGGCGTCATTGCATGTGTTTCGTGAGTCTGAAGAGGACTTTATAGATTGATATTGGAAATATGGGTTAATATCGGACTTATGGACTTGACTGGGCTGGTACGTTTTCTCAATGTTCAATTGCTCTTATATATAAATCTCTTATACACATATGTGTGTATCCATGGATTTGTTTCTCTAGTCTACCCATTGTTATTCTTTATGACTGTGCAGTATTCCATTCTGTGTTTGCACTAAAGTTTGTGTATCCATTTATCTACTGATGGACACTTTGGTGGTTTCACCCCTTTTTGAATAATCATTTATGGGCGCAATGAGCATGGGTGTGCATATGCCTCTTCATATCCCTGCCCTTGTTTTCCTAGAATATATAACTAAGAGTAAGATGGAAACACCAGCCTATTTGCCATTTACATTTTACAGCCCCACAGCAGTGCATTGAGTTCTAATTCCCTCCACCCCACCCCACATCACTACAATTTGTTTTTTAAAATCTGTGCCATTTTTGCTGGTGGCTGATGGCATATCACTATAATTTTGATATGCATTTTGAGCACCCCTCTATGGACTTATTGCTGTTGGCAGGTGCTGTCAATGCAATTCCGACTCAGAGGGACCTTATGAACAGCAGAACTAGCTCAAGCCTGCACCGTCCTTAGCAACGGCTTCCATGTGGCCCTTGTGCCAATCCATCTTGCTGGGTATCACCACCTTTTTCACCGGTCCTCTCTTGTACCAAGTGTGACGGCGCTCTCCAAGGGATGGTTCCCCCCTGACCTCATGTCCTAAGTAATTGAGATGAAGTCTTATCCTCCTCGCTTCTAAGGAACATTTTGATGGTGCTTCTTCCAAGACAGATTTGTTTGTTCTTTCAGTCCAGAACATATTCAACATTTCTCCTAATATAATTCAATGGCACCCATTCTTCTGTAGGTCCAATGTGCTTTGCCAACAACTTAATTCTACGATATCAATTGTTTTCTCAGTGGTCAGTTTTCACATACCCACGAGACAACTGGAAATACCAGGAGTTGGGTCAGGGCACTTCAGTCTTCAAAGTGACATCTTTACTTTTTAACCCTTTAGAGAGATCTTTTGCAGCAGATTTGCACAGTGAAATATGTAATGCGATTTTCTGATGACTGCTTCCATGGGTGTTGATTGTGGATTCAAGGAACACGAGGCCCTTGAGAACGTCCATCTGGTCTCCATTTATCATGATGTCACTTGGGAGCTGCCAGAATCTCTTCTTTGGTGAAGTGTCTGTTTATGTCCTTGGCCCACGTTTTGATGGAATTGTTTAATTTGAGGTTGTTGAGTAGCTTATTTTAAGAATCACCGGCTCAATTCCTAAGACACCCCCCCCTTTAAATACTAAGGTAGGGGTGGGGTGGGGGGCTGGGGGGGGTGGAATGGAAGGAAAACTGTCCTCATTACCTTTGCTTTTCTTGGCCAACAAAACAAAGTGATCAATATCAGTGGCAGTACTGCAAACACACCATAAATGAGCCACAGCCACGGGTGCTGCTCGGCGGCGGTCATTAACTGTTTAATTACTCCAGGCTGCAGACGAAATAAGCAGAGAAACAAAATTCAGATTCTACAACTCAGATTGGGCGACGCAGCCTAAAAAAAGACGAATTTTACCTCGGCATTTCATGTTTGCGAAGGACGAATATGCGAACCTATGCTTTATTCCCACCGTCCACCTTGTCGAACCGGAGCCTTTTACCTGTTAGCATGTGTGACCGAATAAGGCTGTGCAGCAGAAGACAACCCGCTCGGTAAAGAAGGACTGCCACCAGCAAGAAGACCAACACTTCCCAGCTTTCCTGGTTCTCCACCCCCACCCCAAGTCCCCCAACAGTTTTATTGACACAGTTCACTCGACATACAATCCAATTCGCAGGTCGCTCGATTAGGGATAGAGGGGTTGTCTCCACCAAATGCCTGCCCTAAGTGAACACCAGCTGGCCCGGCCACAACAGCGGGCTTGGAAAGAAACCGGGCCCACACGTTAGACACCTAAGGGGAATCCAAACTGGGCATGCGCAGACCCAGGCCACCCAGGTCCGGGCGAAAGCCAACTTGGGCACACCCACACTAGGCACCAGCGAAGTTACATCACGCAGGTGATTGGCCTATGCTCAGCCAATAAGGTCGGCCAGCCCCCCTCGCCACGCCCTTGGGATAGATAATGGGGACAGAAGGGGATAAATAGCGGACAGGGGCAAGCCACTCTCTGTTGTCCAGGTGCTCGCCTGCAGGTCTGGGGGGGGTGGGGTTTCTCCCATGGGATTTCCTGCGGTGGGCCCCTGCTCCTGTTCTAGGGTTCTTTTCATGTGGGTTTTCACGCCCCCCCCCCCCCCAAGTGGCATGTTGAGTCGGGCGGTCCCCGCAAGGCCTGGGCACGGGGTCCAGAGATAGCGAGTGCCATAGGAGACTGCAATACCCGGAACTTCCCTTTCCCTCCGCAATCACTGGGATTTACAAAAGTGCTTCTGCTGCGCGAATTCTTTCGGCGCTGAGAAGCAAGAACAGAGGTCAACCACCCCAGAAAACCTAACATGGTTTAAATATATTAAAAAGCGCTGTGCCGTCATCATCGCGATCCCTTTCAGAACATTTCTTCATTCCGACACTCATTATTATGAGCTACTCATCGCGCACGCGCCCTCCACAGCCTCTGCTGCCAGACCACAAGACATGATTGACTCTCTCTGTAGATTTACTTAGCCTGGATTTGATATAAAGGAAATAACAATAACAAAATCAAACTCAGAAATTCTTCCATCTAAAAGGAAGTAGGAAATAATAAAAACTAGCAAACATTTCAAGTGGGCCCCAAGGGGAGACAAA